AAGAATGTGTGTGTAGACAGAGGGGGAGAACTTGAAGGATCATGTACATATGTATGTATGTGTATGATTTTTTTTTAAAGCTGGACCCTGATCATATCTCTTTTCCTACAATTTGGGTGTTTATTATCTCCAGACGGGTAGACCATAAACTGGTAGTAATGGTTGTCTGATCGCCTCTGGGAGTGGAACTAGATTCCTGGGAAATAAGAGCAAGAAGATTTACTTTTCATTTTGTGCTGTTTTATGTGTTTTGAATATTTTAAACAAACTCTTGAAATTAAAGAAGAGAAGAGAAATACAGTTAGTGCTGTCAGGACTGTCACTGTGGGATCTGGTCCTGCAGGGAAGGCAGTGTGGAATGTGGAGCGCCCTGGGACACAGCAGTCATGAGGGGCTGATGAGCAGGCAGCTATGCCTGGAGCACCAGAGAGGCCACCAAGGGCCCCGGGGGCCGTTCCCCGGGGCAGGAGAAGGAAGTGGCAGGGTGGAGGTGGAATGAGGCCAGGGTCAGCCAGAATGCGCATCCCTGCTCTGAGACTCCAGTGGAACCTCCACGCCCTCTTGCAAGCTGGGAGCTCGACCCAGGGAGGCTGAATTTGGACTTCCGGCCTCAAGAACTTCCGAGAATAAATTTGCTTTGTCTTAAGCCACCAGGTCTGTGGTGATTTGTTACAGTGGCCACAGGAAGCTAATACAGAGAGTGAAGTCATGCTGCCCACGCAGAGCAGTAAGGAGTTAGCAGGGGCTTCACGCTGAGGAGCGAGGCCATTAAATCGCATTTTAAAAAGGGAACAGATGGCGAATTGTTGAATGGAGTAGAGTGGCAGGAAGGGAAGCCACGGTGCTACATGAAGGAGCTACTTCAAATGTTTTTTATTGACACATAGTAACTGTACATATTTATAAAGAATAATAGGGTATTTTGATTCATGTATACGTTAGGTAATAATCAAATCAGGGTAATCAGCATCTCTAGCACCTTAAATCTTTCTCGTTTCTTCATGATAAGTGCATTCTTGCAGCTATTTCGGGACACGCTGTGCCTCCTTGGTAACTGCCTTGGCCCCACGGTGCCATCGCACACCAGCCTCCCTCACACCTAACGGAAACACCATGCCGTGGACCAATCTCTCCATCACCCCTTGCCCCCGACTTTCCCCAATCTGAATCCCTTCCATGAGCATTGGGGGTGTGCACTCACGCAGCTGAAGAAATGAGAGAAGACTGCGGAAGAGATACCGGTGGCAGAAAGGACAGGCCTTGTCACGGCTGAGGGTGACACGGAGGAGTCCTCTCTCTACCTCTGACCCATCGGAGGAGGAGTTCACGAATCTTCTAGCAGATATGACAAAGAGAAGAGATGCTGACCATCGAGGGGTCTGTGGAATACGCAGGTAGAAAAGGAAGTTCTGACGCTTGGGAAACCGAGAGAATACGGGTGGGTGTCGAGGCAGATGCAGGTGGACTCCCTGGACAGCAGAAAGGAACAAACCCCCCTGCCACCCTTTCCACAAGTGCAGACAGCCTCTCTAGAGAAATAAGGGCAAGAAAGAGCGAGAAAAAAGCCAAAGGCTTATGAAGAGCATCTGAGCAGACCCGCACTGGGGCACCCGGGAAGAGGGGACTTTTGAGGAGGAACTGGCCAAGGACAGACTCTTCAGCTGAGACGATGGAACGGTCCTGTGGAGCATGGAAAGCAATAACTGGAAGAGAGGAGAGGAGTCCAGGGCGTAGGAAGAGGTGCCCAGTAAAGCCCAGGGGACTCAGCCCAGCAGAGGGACCCTTCCCACTGTTATCACTCTTTCAGGAAATCTGATGCTAATGCATTGAAAGGCCACGTGTCGAAGGTCAGCATTTGTGAAGAGATCGTTTTTTTTAGAAGACACACGGTTGGGGAAGAGAGAATTCTCTCCCCAAATTGGCTGGAGAGACTGTAAAGATGGAAAAGATGCGAATAATGAATGAACTGGGGGAAGATAAAGTGGGGATGAGAGCCGGCGCACAGGTGGAGAGGCCGGCCCGGGGAGCAGGAGGCCGTGGAGAGAGGACATAGTGTAGATGTGAGGACAGGGCAGGCTGGGAAACTCCAGGCCTAACAGTGTTTGACTTGTGAGAAAAAAAAATAATGATAATGATAATAATAATAATAATAATGATGATGATGGTAACCAACCTTAGACAATTAGACATGGAAGTGCATTTTCCAAAGGCCTCCCTCCAACTTCCCTGGAGGCAGTGATCCTAAGAACCAAAATGCAGGGTGGTATTACGAGAGACGTGTGCCTGTGGAACGGAAGGCGGCCTCCGGGAAACGGGGGCCTCTGTTCTCATCAGCCAGGGGTAACTACAGCTTGGTGTGCCTGCCCAGTAAGCCCCAGGGGACTCAGCCCAGCAGAGGGACCCTTCCCACTGTTAGTACCATCACCAGCATCATCACTGAGAACCACAGAAACCGGGAAAGGCAACCGTGGCTACATCAGCTCAGCTTTAGGCTTGGGGAGTTCACAGCTGGACGAGACACGGGGTCTACTCTTGAGAATTTCAAGATTTTGTAGAAAAAAGGTGCTACTGTTTGGAAATGTCCCCAACAGCCCATCTGCTTGCTTCCCAGCCCCTGGTGCTTCTGGGAGGTGGGGGAGCTTCAGGAGGTGCAACCTAGGGGCAGTTTTCCAGCCTTGGGGTACGCCGATGGAGGGATCCCAGGACCCTAGCCCCTTCCTGTCTCTCTCTCTGCTTCTCAGCCACCATGAGATGAGCAGCTTTGCTTGACCACATGCTTCCTGCCTGGATCTGCTGCCTCTCCACGGGCCCTAAGGAAACAGGTCCAGCCTACTATGGAATGAAAGCTCCGAAACATGAGGCAAAGCAAAGCTTTCCTCTTTTTAAGTTGATTATTTTGGCATTTTGTTACAGTAACAGGAAGCTGACTAACACAGAGGAGGACACTGTTCCCAAATTTATAACCTGAGGATGATTTTCACATAAAGGGGCATTAATAAGGCCTGATAAGCTAACAGAGCCGAGGGACACAGAGAACAGGACATATGCTCTGGATAATTAATTAGACTAAGTCAAACCACTTGGCCAATTCTAAATTTCCAACCTATAAGTCCTGTGCTCTTTCCAATTCATTGTACCACATGAAACTTATTTTCCTATTCAGTCTATAAGCGATTTGGGGTAACTGGTCACAGGTACAGAGGAAAAGACTAGAGAAAGCCATTTCATAGAAGGATTTTAAGGTGAGAGCCGGTGTGAACCCATCATCAAAGGGCAAGTCAGGGCAGGGACAATGCCATCAGTGCCCTTGTCAACCCAGGGCAGAGTCCCATTCTGTGCTAATCCTCTCTGAGTGCAGAACAGTGGAAGAAATTCTTCCTTTGCCTTAAGAACTCTTCATTCTTAATGAGGAGGCTGCCTCATGCAGGGGTTTGGAAGAAAGGGAAATTATTGCCTAGAAAGGAGAAAAATATTTAAAAGTTAGAAACAGGCCGAACGACAAGACAGACGAATCCTGTGATGTCCAGGTAAGGCTCAGAACGGAGGCTGACGTGGAGATGGGTATCCCATAGGGATCACCAGTCGGGCATGATTAAGCAGACATGCTACATGTGGGAATATCTTTTAAGATGAATAAGAAGCACAGAGGTATGAGAATCACATCTCAGACAACTCAAGTCCACAGGTGGACGGTGTTGCCACAGTCCAGTGGCTGAGTGGTGAGAGAGGCTTCAGATGGAGGGATGTACACATAATGCCAAGCAGCGGGTAGCCTTTGCACGGGCTCAGTGTCCAGCCCCGAGGATGCTGGCATGCTCCAGAGAAAGCAGCAGCTCTGGGTAAGGTCAGCCTCTCCTGTCCAGAAACCCCAGGCCCTGGCAGTCCCTGGACCATGGCAAAGAGGATTGGGGGGGTTTCAGCCTTTTGCTTCCGGCCCCAGGCTCTGGCATGGAGACATAAGGACCCTTTGCCAGCTGGAACAGGGCTGATGGACATTTGCTTACATTACACTGCTCTCTCGGCGAATTGGAACCCGAACAATGTGAAGATCCTGAAGTTTGAAGAGATACCAGAAGCCTGCGGTGGTACCACTGAGTTTAGAGGAACCAGGGCTTGCGGGGAAATGCCTACAGCAATCATAGCCCAGGAACAAACCTCTTGTGTCTAAGAGAAGGGCCGAGCCAGAGGGAGGTGGTCATGCCTGTGCCACCTCTTGAAGAGGCAAGTCAACAACACGGATGGCGCTCACGGAACCAGGAGCACCTCAGCCATCGGAGCTGGTTTGCCCCTTGTCTCTGAGGAAGCCTGGCGGCTGAGCCGGAAGGCCATCCATTTCTTAAACTTCCTTGGCTAACTACCACGTGCCCTTTTGCAAGTTGCCCGTCTCTAACTTGGCACCACGGGAAGACCAGGTGGATCCGCCCAGGAGGAAGCCTATGAATGGCAGATCTGAAGCAGCTACCTCTTAAGAGAGCGGACAAGGTCAGTTGTGACGCTGTCAGTCAGAGCCATATAACCACTAAGCCAACGGAGAATTCCTCATAACACAAATCAACAGGACGCATGAGCCCAAACACGGACAGGATGGCATGAGAGGGGCTCATGAGTGGCTGCTCTAACTGTCTAGCAGTGTGTGGGGTTCTTGGAAGCAGGAGGCTGGGGTAGACAGAAACATTTTCCTCCTCTCTCCTCTTCCATGACAGCAGTCATTCACAGATGGTGAATGGATGGTGGCTGTGAAATCCCTCAGCAGATTCCCTCTGTGGTAACACAGTGACCATACGCTGCGACATGGTCCTGCATCTACAATTCCCCCAAACACTCTCATTTGGAGATTTGGTTTTAGCAATCAAACCTTCAAAATTCCAAGGGTGGGAACAGAACCCTGAGGGAAATCCGGGTTCCTGCTTTCTCTGCAGACGCCTTGAGGGCGGTGTGGGGAAGGCGCCCAGGCCACCAGCGCCTACAGGGGTGTAGCTGCTACAGCGCAAGCTACTCACCTTTACTGATGTCTTCGTACTCCAGCCAAAGTCGCCGCTGGACTTGCTTATTTGGGTACCAGATGGAACAGGACTCCTCAAAGCCATAGATAGCTTCCTGGATGTAATGGTTGCCAAACTGGCCCAACAAGGCCACAAAGTCCGCACGAGACGTGGCCCCATCCAGGGAATGAAGGGCATTGTTGAAGGCTGCAGAGGAACATAGCCCGAGAGAGAGTGAGGACCCACATGTGGCCTCTGGACCCCCAGGCACCTTAGCCCGACTGTGGCCCAGAGTAATGTGGAGAGCTGACTGGGACCACCAGTGGGTGTTTCTATTGGGACCAATCAGACCTTTCAGCTGCTGGACAGACACCTATTCAAACCCGCTGGTTGGTGCAGGTTAAACAGAACATGGCCAAACTTCCACTCCCATATCCCTTAAGTAAATGTGTCTCCCCCACACTCTGCAGGTCAGGACATTAAGTCAATGTAATCTGTTCAAATAACGGCATTGTAAGAAGGAGAAAGAAAAGCAAAGTCTAGAATGGAAACATAAACACTAGCAGAGAACATTTCCCCTCATAAGATGAAGCACTGTTTCTTGGAATGTGTGAGGGAGGGTGTGTGTGTGCACCTGGTCACAACCTAAAACATCTCCTAACTGTTGCTAGTGACCAAAAATGGAGAGCCATAGAGAAATACGACCCTCTGCCTTTAGACATGGATATGGGCAATGGGCAGACAATGGAAGGAAAACAGTAGGAGCAGTCACTAACACACTGCTTACATTTTATGTCAGAAAATCCAAAGCAAAAGGACAGGGAAATGACCACCGGAAAAAATACCCTGTTTGCCTCCTCCCTGTCCATCCCAGCCAAATCTCCTTCTGTTTTCTGCTGTTCCTTAAGAGAATTACACTCATCATAAAAGACAGCCTACGGTAAAGTTTCCAAATCCAATACCTTCTGAATCCCCACACATGTTTCATCAGGGCAAGATGGAGTCTAGCTCAGGCAGGAGACCTCAGGCGCCAAGTGCACATCACTTGGGACACCATTATGTGACTTTAAAACACTATGGCAAGACATCTAGCCCTGGTGCGCACAGCATCTGTGCCGTGTGCAGACTGAGTATGTGGATGGTATAGTTTTACTGTGAGTTTTCCCAGAATGAAGAGGGGCTCAGTTCCTCCCAGATGTTCTGTACCTGTGGAGCGTCCTTCATCACCATCCTAATCCTGATCCCTTCTCTCCAAGAATACTTGCAAATTCAAAAGAAAAAAAATTCTGAGTTCTCTTGTGCCCTGTGGAAGGGTTCTAGATCCTCAATGGGTGATGCTTCTCATTTAGGAAGTGTCACCTTTGAAAGTGCATATCTCATTGTTCGTCAGGATCCTCCATTTGTCCTGTACCATTCATCTTCCTCCTGATGGCCCTAAGGCTCCATCTACCTCCCGTCTGCTGCCTGCTGACCCTGAGATCCTAAATAAGTTTAGAACTCACTGATCCTTAACTTAGTAGGTGTAATTCACATCACTTCCATACATAAATAAGGAAACTGTGTTCCACACATGATGTTTACTGCAGAGGGTTGTATTTCTCTATTGCTCTCCATCTCTCTATCCCACTCACTCGCTCTTTAGGAAACTTAAGCCCTTCTCACCCTTTTTCCTCATGTTATTACATGGAATTTTAAATTATATTTTTTTGCATTCGGAATGTTGTATTCTCAGTTTGTGAAAAGCATGCAGTTTTGAAATACCCTCTGCAGGTGCTGAGGGACCCAGAGAACACGATAATGTCACTGGTCCCAGCCTGTCCACTCTCTTTTCCAGTCCAGGATGGAACGTGCCGTTGGATCTGACTTGGCCCAGGCCCTCACTCCAGGCATTTGTCCATAAGAGTGCACGTGGGGGGACAGGGGACTGAAGGTTGTGCCCTGGAAGGCCGGTTAAGCCTGGGTTGGGGGGTGGGGGGCTGGCTGCGGGGCTCACCCTGAGAGACGGCCGCTTGGTTGAGTTTGATGTGGTACATCACCGACCGGACCTTCCAGTGCTGCAGCACGGGGTACCCAGACACTTCACTGAAGTTCACCATCCCTGGGGACAGAGGAGACGGGGGTCAGTGCCTGAGATGGGCTCACAAGTCCCTAGTAGGGAAACGTGGCCCAACTCCATTAGGTTCAGGATTGTAATTGTGAGAAAATGAGCAAGTGCTCTTTGATGAAGAGAATTTCTAGAATTGCAGTAAAAACAGCTATCATTTATGGAACTTTTACTCTGTGCCAGGCATCTTGCTAAGCACTTCGCATATATTAAGCTGGTTGATGTGACTTGGGAATCATTGTGACTTGGGTGTTATTATTATTTACTTTTTATAAATGAGGATACTGAAGTTGTTTATATAAGGTCCCTAAAACACGAGGCAAGCCAGGATGGGGTTCCAGATGGCCTGAGCCCCGAGCCAGGGTTCCTACTTATTCTACCACAACCCCATAATGACTTCATATTAAACTCTAAGCTGACTGCAACACACCAGAGTTTTACTGTCTTTAATAGTAGCAGTAATCGACTCAGCTCACGTATCTGATAACATTGATTTTTCTGTCTCATTTAACTGATTTGTGTTTGGTATTTAAGTTTTAATTACTCTGAGGCTGATAAAGCACATTTTTTTTTCTTTGCCAGAAGGGACAGTATCAGGGTGACTGAATCATTAGGGGGACAGGAATAGCCAAGTACCAAGGGACATCTCTGTGCCAGGAGATGTTTCAGGCAGTTTCAGTGCCCCTTTTGCTGATGGGGAGGCAGAGGGTCCAAGAGGCTAAGTTAGTTGTTCAAGGTCACTCTCAATAAGCCCTTTCTGCGACCTTGTAGAGATATTATTAATGGGCTGCTCTGCCTTGGGAGCTTTGGAGAAAGAATGTCGCCCTGTTTAAATTCTAGCCATTACTATAAATATAATATGCTAGAGAAACGAAATAATTAGGCCACAGGAAATTAAAAAAACACCTACGTTTAGAGAACTGATTTTAACTTCATGTCTATACCTAAGGTTTGCTATATGTGTAAGTTATAGGAATGTACGTATCATTTGTGTATGTGTTTACACACAAACATATACAGTAAGCTTGTACATAGTATATATAAAACCTATATACTCATTTATATTAAACCAGATACCACATAGTGCATATGGAGTGTTCGTGTATATAACTACAATGATAATAATACATGCATAGTTAATTATTCTGCCACTTTGACCCATGCTTCCTTTAAGCAAAATCAACTAATTTAATACCTAAGCTGAATAAAGAGTAGGCAGGATTAATTAGCTGCTTGTCAACCCTGATCAAATTAGATGAGTAATTACCAAATTTCCATTTCTGTCTGAATCATATGGGAATAATTATTGGTAAGAAAAAAAAATAAAAAAGGTCAGAAAAGGTGCTCAGTGAATCAATTGCTTAAATTTCATATTAGGTAATCAAAGATAAGTTACCTAAAACTAAGAGGAGGTTTTCAGCACTTACTTTCTTTCGAATGTTCTTTGAGGGCGTTAAGCTTTGCGATGCCAGTCATGCGACTACACACTTTGGCTTTTAACCTTCATGTTAACTTCAAAAGCATACAAATGGATTTCTAACTTTACAACTGAAGACTTCAGTCACATCCCTTCCAGGTACATTTCATTAGGTGTCAGATGTGGATGGCCTTCAGAACCACCTCTCGCCTGTCAGCGGATGGCTTTGTTGTTAATTTGAAAAGCCTATGTATAAAGAAAACAGCGGGTCCGAAAAATAAAGATTCTCAACTTATTTGGGAAAAGCTCCCTTTAATGGAATTGCTTCACAGTGGAAAACCAACACGAAGGAGCTGGGGGCTGCAGGAGGCCGTGCAGGTGACAGTCGTTATTTGAATGACTGTCCTCCTCACAGCCAGAGTCTCTCCTCTCTGCTGCCTCCAGGGAGTATTTGGTTCCAGTTGTTGTGTCGGTGGACTGAGAGACTAGCTGAGATGATCCCTTGCTTCTTTTGCAAATCTGTGACAGCCACCTGCTGTGTGACTTTAGGCAACTCGTCTGTCTCAGTTTTCATATCTGAAAAGTGGGGGTGACAGTATGCATCCCATTTGCTTTTCAGGTAGGTTGTGACAAAAACGAAATTATGGGTGTCGCGTCTCACGACTAAACCGGTCAGGGTCACTCCAAGTGAATTTGGGGACTAAATAAAGACACAGACACAGAAAGTACCTTTTCTCTGGGTTCAGTGACCACTCCTCCGCTGCAGCTCCCACAAGGGGGGCAAGGCGGGCAAGAAAGAGCCAGGAGCACATGCTGAACCCTTTTATTAGGGAGAAGACATTCAGATGAGGCAAGGGGTCAGATTTCAGGGGGTTGAGTCTAGCTTCTGATGTCTGCTGTCAGCAGGTTGACTGACATCTAGGGAGGCCACGCCCATCTCATGTGCTGTGTGGGGATCACGGCAGAGCAAGCAAAAAGACACATACGTCCCCCTCCCAAATAGAGGGGCAGCGTTGGTTCAGTCCACCCTGTGTGCTCAGTGCTCATAGCTCACACACAGCCCACGGCTGGCTTGCCACCTCTCCACAGTCTCATCGCTCAAGGCTAAGGGGTGCTTGGTTCCCATGTGACAGCTCCCGACATAGGGGCACAAGAATACTTAGAGAAAAGATGAGGCATCGCACACATGGATGGCCTCCATGTCCTCTTGCTCCCTTCCTCCTCCTCCCTCTCCTCCCCCTCCCCCACTCCTCCTCTCTGCCAACCTCCAGCTGTATACACCTGGCGCTTCTTAACTGATGCTTTGGTTATCACTCCCGAGGTGGCAGTCCAGAACAGGGGGAAGAGGAGGATGATGCCAGCCCTCCACTCCGCCTAGCCTGAGCCCAGCAGGTCAACTCCAGGACTTCTCTGCCACACTTAGGCTGCACTGGGTCTGGGAGACACTTACATAACTGCTGGTGCTGGGGAAAGGCTTCTCTGTGCCTACTTACAGATAACACTTCCATTAGTTAAAAAGAAAGGGGTATTTTAAAGTGTGTGTTTTCTAGCTGAGTCATACTGTTTCTCAGGGTGCCCTTGACTTGCATCAGGTTTAGTGTTTTATTTTATTTTATTATCATTTTGAGACACATTTCTGCTGAATGGCTCTTTTTCTCAAACACAATGTTTTCTCAAGAAAGAACATTATTTGTTTTTTCTACCTAATGACTCAACAGACCTGTGTGCACTCTTGGAAGGAAGGAAGGAAGGAAGGAAGTCAGGAAGGAACGAAGTCAGGAAGTCAGGCAGGCTGTGGAAATAAAGAAGGAGCTTTCTCTAGTTATTCTACTGAAATATCAGGAGACATCTGAGCCCAAAGTGCTAAGGCCAAGAATCTTTTTCCCTTGAGTGAACCTGAAGCAATTCCAATGCGCCTGAGCTCCACATCTTCAAATAGATCCAGTGACCATGGCCCCAAGCAGGCCTGTGGCTGTGGCTGTGGCCTGTGGCTGTGGCTGCGGCCTCCACCTCCTCCCTCAGCCATCTCCACACTCCCTCCTTTTGCTCCACTGAAAGGCTGAATTCACAAGTGGACAAAAGCCAGACAGACGGACATGAAAACGAAACCCAGACCCATGATCTGTGGCAATCAGCTCAGGAAACCTCCCCCTTCTCTGTAATAACCCACCCAGGAAGCCAATCTGCTGTCCCCAAGGCAGCCTTGTGGGACCACCATTTCTAGCAAGCTGAAAAGAAACCACAACAGAATCTCCTGGAACAACTGACTCAAACCACCAGAGCACTTCACAGCCCACAGCTTCTCTACCTCTGGCTCCCACGCCCTCTGTCCAACCACTGACAGCCAAATGCGCACCCCTGATCAGTGTCAGGGACGTCCCTTCCAGAGAGCTTGCCTACAGCTTCCCACGCCAACAGCTTCCAGTCCACCCGAAACCCTCCCCTTCCCACTGTAAGGGCTCCCTGTGCCTCTGCCTGCCCTTGAGTCTCTGCCACAACACCAGCCATGGCACCCATGTCCCCTGCCCTAGCCAGCTCAGAATACATAGCGCTGCCAGTTCCCGTCTGGTGTTCTTCACTAATTTCCACACAAAATGCAACAACGAAGAGGCCCGTGAAACCTGGAGTGCTGCAGCATTGCCGATGAAGGAAGAAGGGGAGACACGGACGGGCATCAGTGTTTTCCAGTATTGTTCTTTAACTGATTCTGCCGGATGGAAACAGAGGTTGTCTATGAAAAGAACTCTCTGATCAAGGAGGTCTGGGAATTTCTAGGTTAGATAAATGGGAAAGGGATGTTTTTCCTGCAGGAATCTCTTTCTAAAGCTAAGGTGATACAAGTTGCTAAGAGGAAGAGGGTCTTTCCAAACATATTTGAAGGCAGGCCCATTTGTGAATGGAACTAGGGTTTTTCCTGGAAAACAAAACACAAAGAATGCTTGCAGATGCTGTTATAGATGATTCTGAAGCTCACTTTAGCTTTAAAATCTCCTATTGCTTGTAGGTTTATGGGAACTATGACCTGTAATAATAGAGTGTGAAATGACACAAGATTCATTGTATGCCTTTCAGGAAAGTTACAATTAAAATGTGACTTTAGAACTAGAAGGATGATATTAAAGAAATTTGGTCAGCCCTTTCCGTCATCAATCCTTCGAGTCATTCTTGTATTTAAAAACAAGCGCGTCCCCTGCTTATGTCAAAGGAAAGACATGCTCTTAGCCAAAGTGGTACCATGTCTTGACCAAAATAGGCTAAAGGCAGAGACTGCGTAGAACAGCAGCAAGGTCACTCCTCGCTATTGGGAGTGCTGGACTTCACTGCTGCGGGACCAGGAAAGAAGGCAGGGTCCCATCTGGACATCCTCCCCTCCCCCTGCAGTAAGATATGTTAGGAGAGACCCGAGGGCACAGGGGAGAAGGAAGTTTCTTTGGGAAGGAGAACAAATTTGGGGGTCTCTTCCTTATTCCCCCAAGTAGCAGAGACAAGTTTGTTCTTTGATCTACTGGCCCCTCCTGGAGAGCTCCAGGGAGTGTCCAGAACCATCCGGGTATCCTCCTGGCCTGATAAATGAGCTGGAATCTGCCCTCTGCCAATAAGTCATACGGTGTGAGGGAGGGTTCTGGAGGTCGGGGCAGAGGCAAGTGGTTTGTAGTGGCGTAGACCTGCCCTGTTTGTAGGGGCCACCTCACACCCCAGCACAAGCCTTGCACACATCTGGGAGGTGCTTCTCAGCTATCCCTGTGCCAACAGGAAATGAGATTCCCTAATGCTATAGACAGAGCTTTCGGGACAGTCCAGAGGCTACATTTTAATTTCTGCGTGTGTGCATGAGTATGCGTGTGTGTTCATGTGTGTATGTATGTGTGTTAGTCTTTTGTGGCCTTTTCATCTTTTGAAGATACGTATGGTTGGCCCAGAATATACTGTTTTCTAAGTTTTTTCCCAATGAAGAAGAAACCATTTGGTAATTTTCATACTAATTTCTTTCTTTCTTAGTACATTGATTCAGTTAACACAGATTTCGGTATGTGTTAGGAACTGTTCTAAGAACTTTACTAATATTAATTTGTTTATTCTTTATATCAATCCTTAAGAAAAAATTATAATACCTATTGGAAATTGAGGCACAGAGAAGTTAAGAAACTTTCCCAGATCACACAGCCAGTGAGGAATTGCGGCAGGGTGTTGGGCTTTGGAGCCCACCCTGTTAATCACCATGCAGGACTGCCTCCGGTGGACCTACCTCAATGCCTGTCAGGTCTGAAGTTTGAAACATAACTGGATGTCTGCAGGAGGCTTACCTTCAGCCCACTCCACTCTTTAGAAAAGGGAAAAGAAAAGGGAGGAGGACATAGAATAAGGAACTGAGAATCAGCTAGGGCGATGGAGGAGTGGACACAGCCAACAGTGGCGGGTGGCTCACGGCTAGGCTTCTAGCAGGTGATGCTCAATCCTAGGTGCAGCCGTGCGTCACCTGCCAGGAGGTGCCAGCTCAGGCTTCCCAGGGGCAGGAAGGAGAAGCATACCCTGCGCTCTCACTTCTCCTGCTCAGCCCACACCGCGTTCCCCAAGGGCACAGAGGGAGAGTGCCCCAGGCTCAGAGCAGCACAGAGGCCCAGGTGTCCCCATCCCCATCTCAGGACAAGGGACCCCGAGGGCCAGAGAGATGGTGCTGTCTAACGTCACAGTCACCCAGCCTGAAAGCAGCACAGCCAGGATTCAAACCCAGGGTCAGCTGACAGCAGACTCCATCATTTTGCATTTCCTTGTACTGCTCCGTAAGTCTCCCCAGGACCCCCACAGCAGCCATGACAGATACTGAGGTGACAGTCGCAATCTGGCTCCTCTCTCTGCCTCTATGACCTGGGTATTTCCGCTTGTCCCACCCAAACCTCTGACGCTGTGCATCCATTATCTCATTTGTTTTCAAAGCATCCTTATCAGGAAAAGATCTTAGGACAACCATTCTGCGGGTGATTATACGATAATACGGATAATCCTAATAAGGTTCAGTTGTATAACTGAGCATTCATCATATACCATAGAAACCAAAATAGCAAGGTGGAATCTTGATTTCTGAAGCCGCACAGCTGCCCGGTCTTGCTGGCTGAGGGAAGGCACACTCACCAGTCAGGAAGTCGGGGTCCGGGGTGGGCTCGGAGATTTCTTCTAAGCACTGATTCTCCAAGGGGACAGTGGCCACCACAAGCCCATCTGGCAGTTGCTGGTCGATACCACGAGCAAAGTTGTTTTGCCTAGAAACAGGGTGTACGTTCATTTCTGAGTGTCAGGTGGACCGGCCCTGAGTGGGGCATCTTTATTTCAACACAAACGTAAAAATTCTCTTTGGACCAACAAGTTCCCCTCACCCTGAGCCTCATTTACTATGCAAAGGGTAGGAAATATTCCTCCCTGCATTTCATCCCAGTCCTGCCCCCTCTCAACAGGCATTGGGCACACTGGGTCTCATTTCTTTACCATGGTGAAGACTCCAGCCATATTTCTTGTCTTTGACAAACCGGCTCCCAAACCAAAATGGGAAACACTTGTGAAGTCCCTACACATAACAGTTCTAATAACTAGTTTGAACATTTACTCTCAGTTTGTTTGTAAGAGTTTAGACCTAGGTTGCTCCCTTGCTGATCCATATTATGACAATGACAGCATCATCGTCCCCATCATCACTGTCCCCATCATCTCCTGGACAGCATTTCCCTATGGGATCTGAAGAAGATGCATTCCCATAGCCAAGGCAGAATATGGACAGAGGTCAAACCAAGAATCTTCTCGAGATATTCCAACTAAATTATTTACAGTATTTTGTTCTCAGGATTCCTTTATGCTTGTAAAAATAATGGAAGGTCCCAAGTAACTTTAAGAAACCTCTAATTACATCTATCACTATTTTCTGTATGAAAAATTAAAATAGAATCCTAAAAATTAATTCGCTTAAAAACACAATAATAAGTCTATTGAATATTAATGATAGGTGGGACATTCTTGTACATTTGTTGCAAATTTCTAGAATGTCTGACTCAATAAAAGGCAACCAGATTCTCATCATCAAATCCCATTCATGGCAACATATCCTTTGAGTTTAGGTATGTGAAGAATATGCAGCCTTTCTGCAGGTGGAAAAGGCAGGAGGGTTTGCAGGGGTTCAGGGACCCCAGGGATCCTTGGCTCCCACTCTGGGGACTGCTATTCTAGACCAACTCACATGCTGAGTCTTCTGTTCGGAGGGAAGATGGAACTTGGGGCATTTGGGGGTAGCTTTCTTATAAAACGTTGCAGCCCTCGCCTGAGCAAGGCAAAATCTCACTTTATACTTTTACTGTTCACCCAGAGGAAGCATGGTTCTTGGATTCTTGAAGAATGTCACCTTAGAGAAGCACAAAGGTGAGAGCAGGACCTAACCCCTGCTGCACATGACATTTGCCTTGCTCCAAGATACAGAACTTAGGTTGCGTATAAAGCAATTCAGAGAAGAAGCCCCACCAACAGCCCTGAATAATCACAGAGTGTCAGGTGGACATGAGGCTCACCTGAATGTTCCTTTCAGCACCTGTCCAGAGGCCACTTCCTTGGAATGGTTGTTGTAACCAAAGAACATCTCCCCAAAGAGAGTCTGGTTCATGGGAAGCTCCCTGCTCTCTCCACAGTCGCCTCCCTCTGGGCAGGTCTCTGTGATGAGCTGGCAAGAGCGTCCATCCACACCAAGCTTGTAATCCTCGATGCACCTAACGTGGCGGAGAACTCAAGAAGTTAGTCCATCAATGAGCCATGCTGGCAATCAGCTCACCGAATCCAGAAGAGATGCCTTTGAGAGAATTGGAATGGCCAAAGATCAGGAATATCCCAATTCACTTCTGACCCCTTTATAATGGAGTTTCTTAAGCCTGTAGATACAGGCTCTCTCCAAAATGTGATCATACCAAATTTCCTACTTTTCCTTTAAAGTTAGGTCTCTCAGAACTTTGGAGTGTTCTCTTTTCTAAGAGTCACCTGATTTCTCAAACAGGTCAGGATAAGAATCATTGAAGAAAAATTTGTAAATACGAGTTAACCATTTAAATCCAAGATATAGTAGAGTTTTTCTCACAAGCCCTCTGTACAACCAGTTCTATATTTGTTGGGAGAGTAATTAGGCAGCAAAAGGAACAACACTGTACTTAAGAAATCAATTGCTTTCTAATCTGGTCCTGTGATGAGTCAACTCAGAAATTAGGAAGATGGATGATCTTCTTGAATGTCTCCAAACACAGGATCATCCCAGACCAATTCCTCCTCCATCCTGAGTAGCCACCCTGAACTAAATAGATGCAGGGCATCTACACCATGCACCCTGAACTGGGAACAGCCTCCCATGAATGTACAGCTACTGTAATGGAAAAGCAATAGTAATTTGGTAAACATGGGTCAATGACTCACAAGTCATCATTTGACCTTACTTGTAGTTATATTATAAAGAACATGGATTGGCTAGCTCAGGTGAGTGAGAACTACTTCTTTGATAAAGCTGTCAATGAAAAAAATGTTGATTTCATTTGGTTCTCTCCTTAAAAATATCACAGATTTAGACTTCAAAGGTGCTCACGATGTTAAAACACCATTTATCACTATATACAGTAATTTTTGTAATAATATAAAGACCTCTGACCTATGTTGAACTACAAATGATCATAGTTTCAAGTAGTGAGAAGCCATATTATAATAGCAATGAGCATCTTCTTCACTGGTAATCTTAAACCAGTTCAGTAACCTCTCTGAGCTTCAAGACACTTGACATTTAGAACGCAGCCCTATATATAGCTAGTACTCTCTGTATGTTGCTATTATTAGCAGCAAAGGTGCCAAGGAGGCCTGTGATTCAACTGCCAGTTTTTCCCATTTATCATTTACATATTTGTGTGAACAGGTGTGAGCAGAGTTCTTTAACTGTAAGTGTATGTGATCTGGTCTTTATGTAAAAATAAAAGTATTTGGAGAGTGCTCCACACACGTGTGCCTAAATCTGATTAAGAAAGGAAAGAAAGTCCACCTAGAGGCCTACCACCTTAGTCCAGGGGACAGATGTGCCTTAAGACCCCTCCTCCAGGATTCCCGGGCTCCAGCGCAGCCTGGGAGCGGGGACATTGGAAATGGTGAATTGGCTCCTTCCTCGATTGGTACATACACGGAGTTTCTGGGAAAGATTTTGAAGTTGGCTGGTTCCCCTCCAGCCCACGCTCAACCTCCGGACAGCTTCCCCTTCCACTGGACCCCTCCCCCAGGACCCCTCCCCCCCCCCCAGTTGTGAGTCCCACTGAAAACTCCTCCAGGGAGAGCAGAGCAGCTCCTGATCCTTCTCATGGAGCACCCACCTGGTTCCCTGCACAAGGAGGTACCCAAGGACGCATTTGTTAAACAAAAGGGGAGGAACTCTGCCTGGGTTTACTTCTATAAATTGAAGTGGGTCAGCCCTAGTTTTTATAAAGAACCTTAAAGTTCAGAGCAACTTGCTATTTATGGAATGGGCTTTTACAAGAAACTAAATATGGAAATTACTCAGTTGTGAAGAAATAAAATAAAACAAAATACAATAAAACAACGTTATAACTCCACTGAACAATTATTCAGCGGGCACTGCCTTTTAGAACAACTAGCGAGTTTTATTACTGTAAACACCTTTTTTGTTGTTGTTACTGGAGATTGAACTCAGGGGTGCTTTACTACTGAGCCATAACCTCAGCCTTTTAAAATTTTTATTATTATTTTTTTTAATTTTTTGAGATACGGTCTCACTAAGTTGCTGAGGCTGGGGTTGAGATCGCAATCTTCCCGCCTCGGTCTCCCCAGTTTCTGGGATTACAGGTGGGCATCACCACACCCAGCCTTGATTTTCATTGCAAGCTGTTGGAGGGTAACAACTCCAAGTTATTCACTCCTCTTTGCAGCCCGGTGGCCGGCATGGTATTTGGCATAGAGTAAGCACTCTGCCTGACTTGGAGGAAGAAAGAGGGGAGAGGGAGGCAAGAAAACCATGGGTATAGCGGAATGTGCTACTATATTTACTTTATAAATATAGCATGAAAATGTCTTTAAATATAATTCCACTCAGTGATATAAATTTAAGTTTTGAGAAAAATTGCAGAATTTTTTTTAAAAATCAGAGAGGGCCTGGAATCTGATCTTAATCTTCCTACTCACCAATTCCCTGGTCTTGGGAGAGACAACCCCACTGGGCCTTAGTTTTCTCATCTGTGGAATGAGCTGGCCTTGCCTGCCCTGTTCCCTCACGAGCCCTCCTGCCAGCTTAAGGAGCCAGTGGGTGAGAGGGACCCACCATAAAGGGCCTACACGAGGAACTGCGTCACTGAGGAGGGCTGGACACAAAATGTGGGGCCTCGGGAATTGAATCTGGAGAAGCTTCGGCTACTCCTTTGATAATTAATCAGTTTCATGCAATCTTTCCCAAGTTTTAGATCACCCAATGCTTTTTGTCACAAGCCTTAATTAACATAGTTCCACAAAACACACTGGAACATTCTGGCTTAATTAGGCGATGATTTAAGGGAACCGTGTAGCTAATTCACCCTTGCAGGTAAATGGGGCTGGGCTCCCACACTTTGGGACTTGCCCAAGGATCCTCCCAACCAGACTTTAGAGATGCTCCATCCTGAACAGCCCGAGGGCTGGCCGAGGGTGGCAAGTCATTCACAAGGACTTTCGGGTTAGGCTCTGAAGGTCTCGCACCTTGGCCAGCCTCCCGGCAGCTCCACTCACCCGCAGAACATGAGGATGTTGTACAGGGTGGGGTCGTCCGGGAAGGGCGCCATCTGCTGGAGACACAGCTGCTCACAGCCGCCATTGAAGCCATCTGAGCAGTCCACCCCGATGTGGCGGTCATAGCAGCCCGAGCTGTCCTTCATGGGGCTGAGTCCGGCTGGGCACTGGCACAATCAGAAAGCATCCACACAGGTGGGTGAGTCAGGGACGGGGTTCTCTACTGGAACATCACCACTGACACCTATTTTTAGGACTTTGCCTGGAAACTATTAACACTGGCAAGCAATCCATGACTTCTCCTCTGCACTAGACTCCACTTAAAAGCAAATAGCCTTTTTTGACATCTTGCTTCTCTCTGGGCATAGATCATACACATTGCATTAAGGCTGCATCCTCTGAATAGGCTGGAAGGGTGCCCTATAGTAAGACAGGGTAGAGGAGTGTGGTGTCCTCATTCAACACAGAAGAGTGGAAAAGATAGTCCAGAGGTTAAAAAAAAAAGTCTTTGAAGGCATTCCTTTGGGTGAGGGGAAGGGAGTGCTGTTGTTTGGACTCAGGTTAAGATAACTTTTTCAATGTCCAAAGCACTTTCTCAGTGTGGGTACCACCCCATAGAGTAGGAGGGAATGGGCAGAATCAGGGCTTGCAGCCTGAAGTGGGGAGTGGGCTTTCCCTGTGACCTTGGAAGGGGCTTTGCCTGCTCTCATACTCCTCCCCTTCCTGCACCACGGATGCCCACTGAAAGACACGCAAACAAGGGCCTCGGCCATAGCAACACTCAAGGGTGCTGTACTTGGTTTTGAGCCTGATTCTCATGATGTGAAATAGTGACCTCTTTGTACTATTTCACCCTTAAAAAAACTCCCCAAGAATGAAAGCCACCAAGAAAATCCCAGAGAAGATGGCAGACCCCAGGAAAGCCCAGGGGCTGCCTCACTCACCCACTTAATCCCCATGATGCCCTGGCGGCAAGAATTGTGACCACCCCATTGGACCTGTGAGGAAACTGAGGCACCGAGGATTTAGCCCCCCTAGGGTCACACAGCTGCTCATGACAGGGCCACTCTTGAGCCCCTGGCAGGCTTCCTAGGACTCCTGAGGGCTGGTCAGTCCGTGACTCCACACTGTTTACTGAACACTAAGGAGGAGCCCGCCTGCCACTGTGCTGAGTACTTCAGGCATTTTATCTCACAACACCCAGCATTATCCCCATTTAAAGATAAGGAAACCATTAACACTGCCAGTTAATTCATGAACCCCTCCTCCCACTGGGCTCCCTTTTAAAGCTGATGACTCTTTTGCCATCCTGCTTCCTGCCTGTGCAACATCGTCTGCACATTTACACTAGAGCTGGCCCTTTCTAACAGGCTGGGAGGAGGGGGTGACTTGCCCAGGCTCAAGCAGCTGGAGTGGGTGGGGAGCTGGGGATCTGTGCATCCTGGACTCTGTAGGTTGGGCTTTTAGTGACTGTGTCATACACACACTGTTAGCCACAAACACTTCACCAAAACCAAACCCAAGCAAAACTTTCAAAACTTGGTGGAACAGTGTGACACACCTCCCTTCCTCCCTGCTAAGGCTTGCTCTTTCTCTTGGCAGCCAAGCACCTCATCTTGCTGGTCTAGAGCTGCTGGGGAGGAGCCTCTGCAAACCCATCTCTCCCCTTCCTTTCCCAGTCAAAGATCACAGCAGGATGTGCACTGTTTGCTGACACTAATTCTGCAATTTACCAAACAAATGACCCCCTGTGGGCCTGCCAGACCCCCAGCCTGGCTCTTCCCCTCTCCCCCCTGTGCTGGAAGGCCACAGTATTTAAAGAAGTTTCCAAGGTCTGCCCCCTGCTGTGGGAACCCAGATGTTCCTGATGATGGTAAACAAGCAAACGAGGCAGCTGAAGCTCGCACCCCAGGTCCGCCAGCCCCTCCACCCATCAAGTTCCTTGGCCACCCAGCTGTTAGGCCAGATGTGTCACCAGAAGGGAGCTGGCTTCAGCACTGCCTGGCTGTCCAGGCGTGGATTCTGGATTCTGGGATAGAAATACAGAGTTCGAATGGAATTAAATGGGCTGCCCCGGTAGCCACCGAGTTCTGTGTTTGCTTTTTCCTTCCACAAAGCTTGCCAGAAGCCTTCACGCAGAGATGAAGCCCGTCTAGCCCGTCTCCTGTTCTTCCACCTCACATGGCTCAACCCTCTCACCAGCCAGCTACCTCAGCCACCAGCCAGGACTCCCCATCTTCCCCACCACCTGCCTTTTTCCAGAATGCCCCATCAAGCGTGGTTTTTGACAAATACTTCACTGAATGAAACATGAGCTGGAGGCTTTGTTCCAGAATTCTGAGACCTGGCACGTCCACTTCTTGCCTGGCCCTAGTGCCTAGATGACCACTGCTATCCCAAATTGCACCACCTGATATTCATGGTCTCTCAGGAGATTTGGAGAGAAGTCAGTGTAAGCTGCCTTGCACAAGTTGGATATATATATATATATATATTTTTTTTTTCCCTCATAAACAAAGCTAAAAGTAACAATCACAGCTTTCCAGAATCAAGCAATTCTTTTACCTACATCTATTATCTTCAATCCCAACGACACAGGTGTTCTCTGTCTTCCCCATTTTACAGATGAGCCAAATTAGACTCGGGAAGACTAAGTAGCTTGTTTATGGTCACAGTGGTGGAACATGCCAAAGCAGACTCTGGGCCAGGATCTGTCTGACCCCAGAACTTGCATGTGTCATCTTCCATTCATCCATCCTGTTTCCCAGGTGAGATAAAGAAATCAAGCCAATGTGTCAACCAGGTAAATTAACCCTGGGGGTTTGTTGCTCGACTGTTTTAAGCAGTTCCTGGAACATAGTCTCAAGTCAACCCGAAATTCTTTGTCTTTCTCACTCTTGTCACATGTGAGTGCACATGATCTCTCTCTCTCTCTCTCTCTCTCTCTCCACATACACATATATGTATATATGGGTGCAAATATTTTAGGGCAAAACACTATGAACTGTCCAGGTGATGGTGTTGAAAGCCATACAAGTTACCTTTACTGCACCTTCATAACTGACTGGGGTTACAGTTCAGAATAAGACTTTCCAGGGGAAAAAGGGCTGAAGCAGAAGTAGAGTTTCCTTCTTAACCCTTGGGAATCAGAGGACCCCCTCTGCAAGGAGTTACTCTATCAACCTTCCCATGGTATACATTTTTGTTTTTTGTGGTTTTTTTTTTTTTTTGGTGAATCTTCCTTCTGCTATTATACTTACATTCGTGGTTTCCTCAGACTCTATAAATATGAAGAAGCTAACATCTCCAAACCAGGCCCCTCTTCCTAGAAGTCACTGCAGCCAGAGCCCAGTTGTCAGAGCAAATCCTGCCTCCAGGAGGAGCTTGGATTATCTGTTTGCAAGGACTGGGCTGTTCTCTCACCCTGGCTGTGGACAGTCCCTTCACATGTTCCTTGAGAGAGAACTGTTGGTCAGGAGAGAGCCCCAAAGTCATATATTAACCGCTCTCTGCATAGGTTATATCCAGCAGTCCCAGGGATTTTATAAACTCCAGGCTTAAGAAGAAAACTCCATTCATTATGACAACAGCCCTCCCTCTTCAAGAAGTCCTAATAAATGAGCTCATATTTCTGTGACCTCTAAAATACATAAGGTTAATCATCTTCCATGAGATGCTCGCAGCTTCTTGACTTCTCACTGGTCGAAGACATAATTTGCTAATGAGATTAAAATGGTTTTCCCCATTCAACTCTTTTTCCTTGCCCTCTTTTCCTTCTTTTCCTACTGATGATTTTGGTTGATTAATCACCTAGGAGGCTGGTGGGATCTTCCTGAGCCTAAGACACACACACCTCAGCGCCAGGTTACCAAGTGAGTGCTGTTGGCGGTGACTGTGAGTGATGGGCACGGGAGCCTGTTTGGGGCCCCTGGGAGGAGAGGGACTGATTCCTGCAGCACCTTACCTGGATGTCCATCAAACACGCAGCCCAATTCCCACCCTACAGAGGCTCCCTCTTACTGGCTGGCAATCTTATTCCTTTCACAAATAATGATCTTCCCAACTTTCTATAGCACTTCTCCCAATGGGAAAAGTCTGAAGGAGTTCAATGTCTGTGTCAGGCTGGGACAGCTCCTGTCCCCCAGTTCTCTAGAAGCTTCTGAGGCTAACTGCTTAGAGGGGGAGGGAGGGAGGGAGGGAGATCGGTAATGGCCTCCTCACATCTGTGCCCTGGGAAAGGTGAAATGATACAGTCTGTGGGCAGCCATCATGGACAACATGTGGAGGGAAGGGCAGCAGGTCACTGGGTAATTCAAAGCTCATTAGAGCACAGTGCTGTGGCAAGGAAGGTCACATGCTCCATACACAGGACAGCGCAGCCTCTGACCCCCACCCCCACCCCGGCCCCTTCAAGGACACAGCCTGCCATCAAGCACATCCCCACATCTTACAAAGAAAAGGCATTTTAAAAAGTTTGGACACTTTCAGGATGAGTGAGAAGATGAGGAAGGAGCATTAGGAACACCGGCCTTGCATTTCTCTTTTTCTTTTATTGGGGTAGCACAGGAAATCATTTTCAGACTTTCAAACCAAGTTTCCCAGTGCACCTCAATGGCAGGCTGGGTAAGGCTGGAGACACCTGTCATGCTCAGTGAAATAAGCCAAGCCCCCAGACCAAAGGCCAGATGATCTCTCTGATACGTGGGTGCTAATTCACAGTAGGTGTGGGGCTAGGGAAAAACAAGAGTTACTCTGGATCAGGTAGAGGGGAGTGAAGGCAGGGGAGGGGGTATGGGGGTAGGAAGGGTGGTAGACTGATTAGACATTGTTACCCTATATATAACTATAGGACCAACAAGAAGAAAGAGAACTTATACTCCATTATATATGATGTATCAAAGTGCTTCTACTGTCATGTATAACTAATTAAAACAAATATTAAAAAAAACAATGAAGACACCCAAATGAAGACACCCATTAAAGCTGGGAGTGGGGAGTCCCATTTACCAACCTACTCCAATCCCTGCCACCCACTGCAGAGGGTTCCCCAGATTTATCTCTAGCACAATCTCAGGAACCTGTGATCATATCACCTTTCACGGCAAAAGGGAGTTGGCAGATGTGATCAGGTTGAGGATTTGGCAGATGTGATTAGGGTAAGGATCTTGAAATGTGGGGATTATTCTGGGCTCTTAGAAGTGGAAGAGGAAGGCAGAGTAGGGGAAAGAGAAGGAGACACCTTACAGAAGAGCAGTCAGGGAAAGGCAGTGCCGCTGACCCTAACATGGAGTGGCAGGCCGTGAGCCGAGCAATGTGGGTGGGCTCCAGAGGGTGGACAAGGCATGGGGTAGGTTGCCCCCTAGATCTTCCTGCAATGAAGACAGCCCTGGTGACTCTCCTTGTTAGCCCAGTGAAAGCCACAGGGGAGTCTCATCCTCAGAGCTGTAAGATGCTAAAGTTGTGTAGCTTTAAGTCACTAAAATTCTTGCAATTGTTCAAGCAGGAATATGATAATATAGCACGCTTGAAGGGCCCCCTAGGGCTCTATAGAACACAGAACTGCTGCTCTGGGCCTCATGGGTGGGGACCATGGCCCATCTTGAACATTAAAAACAATGGGTAAGATTTGGTCACCAGCAGTGGCAGTGAGCCATACTCTGGGGACCCTCCTGGAGCTTCCGAGGTCCCCAGCTCTTAGAGAGCACTCGGATTTGTAAGGAGCAATCATGGTTTATACAAGACTGTGTCTTTCATGGGTATTTGGTTCCTGTCCTCAAAGGCTATATAAGCAACAGGGCGATTAACTGGGCACCAGTGAACCCTGTGGAAGCCCATGCATAACCAAAACGTGCCCCCTCTCCTGGAAAGAAGGGAAGCAGCCCCTGTACACCCAGCACGAATCCCACCTGTCTGGTCTGAATAAGTCAGAGAAACATCCAGGTGTGCTCATGCTCTGCCTTCCCACACCTGCCCTTTCCCCAGGTTCCTGAAGAGTCAGCATCTCTCATTCCTCATCTCTTTCTCCTTTCAAGAAAGGATAAAAGATGCTTTTCCTGGGAAGTCTTTCAGATGGGCACCCAGGACTGGACGGAAGTGCCTATGTGGATAGGGGCTAGGAGGCCAGACTTAGCTGTGGTCTAGCTCCAACGACAAGGGACTTCCTCCAGTAACACACCAGGGCCTGAGGACAGTGTGATGCCCAGTGGAGTCAGGTCAGGCTCAAGGTCAAGTCCCTCATCTTCTTCTCAGTAGGGTCATAAGCACATCAGCTCTCAGTGCATCCGTCCTGCCTCAGGGATCATCTGCTTCGCAGCCAATGAGGAACCAAATGGAACACGTCCACCAATCAGCCCCGCTTCTTCCTCCAGAGCCACGTGGACTGGTGACTTCAAAGTATTATGCAAATGCCAAATACTGGTATAATTGAGTGACTTTCTGCAGCGGCTCCAATTCTAAAATGCAGCAGCTTTATCGCGAATGCATATTCATCAGAACTATTCCTGCTAGTCCGTCTCGCAGATCAGTGGGGAAAGTGCAGAACTCCATCCGCTCAACTGTACGCCAAGTGAAAGGGGCTAGGATCAGCACCACAGGACGGCTGACAGGCAAACACACCCTGAGGGGCCAGGGCGGGGCAAAGAAGTAGCAAGAGAGGAAGAACCCACCTGTGTATGCATGTGCCTGCGTACATTTGCGCATGTGCATGCGTGCGTGCGCGCATGTGTGTGTGTGTGTGTGTGTGTGTGTGTGTAGTGCATGCTCAAACACCTATAGGGGTGGTGTGGGAGGAGCCCGCATGTGCCCAGACAGCACTTAGAGTGACCCCAGAGAGCAATTAGGAAGAAAGGTGGAAGTCTGGATGAAGAAAGGTAGAGTCCCATCAGACAGTGAAAAGCATGCCCGAGGGACCCTGCCAGTTGAGGTGCTCATTGCTTAACAGGGTGAGGACCTGCCCAGGGTGGGCTCACTGTGGGACACCAGCTCACCTCCTGGCTGCCCGGGGAAGAAGACATGACCTAGCAAGCACGATTTCTGATCTTTTTCCTGATAGGCCTCTGCTCTTGGCCCTTCCTAGGTTCACCTGCTGGCTTCTCCTCCCAGCCCACGGCTCTCTCTTTCCCTTCTCTCCATCATGCTCTCTCCTTCTCGGGGGAATCAGGGCTGTGGACTTGGCAACAGTCTGGGGAGCCTCAGGGCTGGGACACCTCCACCCCAGAGACCAGGTTCATATTCATCTTTGATACGGAGCAGCTCCCTGAGCAGAGCAGGTGCTAGAGATGGGTGACGAGGGCAGCGACTCGGGGTCCTCAAAGCTTCCCCAGCTCTGGGTCCCCTCACAGCACGGCTGCCAGGTTGGAGCCAGATGGGGCACCGGGAAGCTCCTGGGCCTTTCCCCGACAGGACAGAGTGACGCATCTCAATGCCTGACTCTCCCTCCCCCTGTTCCCCTTTGTGTGTCTTCCTTGCCATCTCTGTCCTGATCCCTCTCCTCTCTGGAGGTGGGGCTGGACACAGATCAGCGTGTCAATGTGTGAGAGCCACCAACAGCAGGGAACCAGCCTGCAGGGCCTCCTCTGTCCTGCCTCATCCGCCAGCACGGTCAGTACAATGTTCATATTCACGCCCCGCAGAGAGCTTGGTCTACTCCAGCCCAAACAGTCCTACCAGGGAATGGCATCCCATTTTTAAGGATAGCCAAAGTCCGCAGAGCTGAAAACAAAGCAGAAACCCGCTGTGGAGAAGTAGCACGTCACTGCTGGGGTTTCGGACATTTTTATTTATATTTTTCTCTACCATTTCTGGCATAACGTATTCATCTCGTTGCTCTACCTACAGGTAGGTCTCTCCAGACATTTCCTGTTATATTTGGAATCGATTTTATACAAAAGCAATTAGTTAGTTCTCAAATAGTTCTCACCAACTATTTTATAAGACTGGAGAGAATGGTGCTATACAATTTGAGGAATTTCCCCCTGAAGAGAACACATCGTAAGTGCTCCCCAAGGACTTCTTAAATACTGGACTAGGGCTTAGCTCCTCATCCCTATCAAGAGAAAATTCCGAACCTGCACTAGGTGGTGGTTACCACTGGGGTCACAGCACATTGTCATCTGTGTGTCCCTCTGCCTTGTGCTCACCCTGTACCTTCCCTCCCTGCCCTCCAAACAGGACAGACATACCACGCAACCAGTGGAGTCCAACTTGCGATCGGAAATGCAGCGGAAGTTCTTACTGCAGCCCCCGTTATCTTTGCTGCAGTCTCGCACTGGCCCAAAGGAGTCTAAGAGAACTTCCAGGCTGTCAAAGGAGGATGAAGTCATCAGCTCCTCTCTGCAGGGAGAAAGAGTGGGAGTCAAGGGGCTTCTAGGAGCCACAGTGGTGCTACCTTCCATCTCCTGCCTGGTCAACTGGACCAAGCCTGGCTTTGCTCTTATAAAATTAAAGATCAACCATACAAGGAGGCCTGAACTAACAAATTATGGGCATTTTCCACATCTGGGAAATGAGCCAAAGCTACGCCTGGTCAAAGAAGGAAGTCTAAACTTAGGCAAGGACATTAACATTTTATTGCCTGTCAGTCCTTGGGGTATGTGGGAAGTGCTTACAAACTCTAATTTTATGTCTTCTTCCAGTGAATGAGCCTTGGGGTGTGCAATATTGACCCAGATAAAGAGCAGATCTTGGCACCACGTGTGGGGAATTTAAAGGCAACCTGCCAACTTCTCCTTTCGGCTTGCGGTGCCTTCTTTCCCAGCACCTAGAACCTTCAGGTCACTTCTCACTCTGCCTCCCAGGCCAAGGGCGGGCCCTCCGCCGCACCCTGAAGCCAGACCCACCTGACCTCCACGGCATCCTCCATCACGGTCATGTCGGTCTTACACTTGGCGGAGGGATTGATGGCCAGTTCTGCTGGCGGGATCACAAAGCTCTTGCTGAGGGGCAGCCACATGCCCTCGCCCAGGGTGTAGGTGAATCTGCAGGGACACAGCACCAGGTGGTCAGGCTGGAGGATCACCACCCCCACACGGGGATCCGGCACTCAGCCCCACGGCCCTCTTCAGAGAGGAGGGTGGACTGCCTTTCGTGGAAGAGACCCATGAGTCAGAGGGAGGCTGAGGGCCTGCTCCTGCTCACTTGGCCATCTGGCTGGAGGACCGATCATGGAGCCCATTCACCAGATACTAAAAGGGGCTCTCATCAAGTCACAAAACGTGAGCCTCAGCCTTCTTCAGGTTTAAAGCCGGGCTTCCCCTGTATTAAGTCAGATATAATTGGAAGCGGTTTAATTGGAGAGAGAGGAGGCCTCCCACCCTCCTCAGCCTGGGGCTGCACACCCACTGTGGTAGCCATGGTTTCTCCTCGTGCCTGGAGGAACCTTGACTAGGAGAAGGCAGGAAGAAAGCGCCCCTTCTCTGGATTCTGTGACAGGAACAGAGATGACTGAAGCCAGGAGCCTCCAGGGAGGAGAAGAGAGGGGTGAACAAATGAACCAACAGCCCCACGTCTATTCTCCGTCTATTCTCCGCACTCCCACCCACACCTTAGCAAATGGTGCTAACCCTTGGGAAACAGGGAAGATTTGGGTGTTTTTATTCTTATAACAAGGGCTAAAAGGAATAAAAGAATCAATCAGCATTTCAAGGGAGAGCTTAAGGAAACCATGAGAGATTATTTGTTTATTTATTCATTCATTTCATTTCAAAGGCATTCAAATGCTCTGTGTTCACAGTCAAAAATAGTCTGTGGGATAAAAGCCAGTGTGGGTGGGACATCACGAGGCTGTGGCAGACGTGGAAAATGGAGGAGGTGCACGATTAAGCAGAACCAGTGCCGTGCTGGTCACAGCACCCCGGGAGAACCCCGCTCCTCTCTCCCTCCTACCCCCTGTGTTCTCCTCTCCACTCTGGGCTGCCTGAGATGCTAGGAAAGCAGATTGAAGCTTCAGAGCTTTTATGAAAAGTGCAGTAGCCCTCTTCAGAACGCTGGCCACAGAACAGACCCAGCATGCTCCCCATGCCATTTCCGCCACACCCTGACAGACAACCCTCGGCACCAGAGCTGCAAGAGGAGAAGGCAGGTGACAGCTTAACTGTAGGGACTCTCAGGAGAGAGGCAAAACCTCTAGGTAAGGGGTGTGTTCAGGACTGGGGGGTTTCTCTCCCATTTCTGCCCTGACTCCTAGTGTTCTACTCCCCTGACCTGCTGGGAGCCATCAAAGATGCTTCTTGACCTGCAGGAGGCATTCACTCCTTCTTCCCCCAGGGGCACCAGGAATTAGGTGGAGCTGGGCGTGAGCGGAGGGGCCTGCACCAGGGGAGCTGAGCCCATTACTTGGGGAACCAAAACACCCAAGCTTCATTCTGTTGTGGATCAACTAGTGAAACTGGAGACACAGCAGACCATTTACACACACACACACACACACACACACACTCTTCATCTGAAATATCAAGGAGCAGATTCAGGGCTAGCGATGGCCTCCAACATGCCTGGAATCTGGGACTTAAGGGTTGCTGTGGGTTGAAGGAAACAGCTTCCAAGAATTCCTATGATTTCACTTTGCATTCCACAATAGGTCTTGAGCCAGCAGCATTACACTAAGGCAGGCTCTGGTCAGGACACCGCTGTATTATAATATATTGTTCCACAGAGAACGTTTACACAAGTGAATGTACCAGGGATGAAGCAGTTCATTGGACACAAAGATGGGTATTTGTTTTCTATTTTGGCTTTGAAATTATAATTTTGTTTTGATTATGTAAGATTTTGGGAAACTGTTGGCAGTTCTAGTACATTTCTGATGGTTCATTTTTCTTTTGGAAGAAGGGAGTCTATAGTTTCTCATCTCTCTTTTCCCTTTTTCCTCTGCATATAGTCATAGGGAAAAACAAACCATGGTTTTCCCCAAAGCCAACTGTGCAATGGCACCCCACACACAGGGGGCAAAGTCCAAGCCCCCAAAGGCATCACGTCACCCCACCTACATCTTTAGCTCCTCTCTGCAAAACCACTTCACTCTGCTCCTGCAGTGCCCACTGTACTTTCTCAAAGCATCCTAATTTCTCATCTCTTTTCTTTTGTTCCTAACATTCTTTCTTCTGGATTTTATTCCCTTTTTTCTTCTCCTGAATTTGATTCGTCTTAAGACTTAGTTTAAAGTTACAACCCTTCCAGAAATTCCCCCAGAACCTTGACCCTCAACCTTAGGCTGAGCAAGGGAGTGTCCTCTGTCCACCTTACACAGAGTCCTTGCTGCCCCTGAGATGCTGGACTGCACCTGTCTTTTCCTGTGTCCATCACTGTTAATAAGGATGACTCCCCAGGATGGCCGAGGACAGCCCCAGCAAAACGCCCTGTTTACCCTCCTGACAGCCCTCTAAGTGTCTGACAGCCCTGTCAGTTTGACCCCTCTTACCAATTCATCATCTGATATTCTAACAATGTTAGTAGCTCCCCAAGGTCACTCCTTGGTCAGTGGGAAAGATGGAGATGGTCCAGTTCTCAGGTATGGATCACAGTAGCTTTCCAGCGCATGCTGGCTCATGCCTAAGAAATTCTAGAGCTTTCTTTCATCTGCAAAATCTACTGAGTAACTCCAAAAGCCAAATATAGAATATGCTGTCAGAGAAAAGCTGTGTCCTGAAATTTCATCTGTCCCCCATTCATGAAGATTTGGCAGGAATGACTCCCCAAACCACCAAACAGAAGGTAGGTGGGCAATTCCAGCACTCTCCCAAGTTGGGCCTTCTCTGGGGACAGCTGGTGAAGACCACTGTAGTGATGGCTCAGCTGCACGCTGCATGGTCTGTTGAGCAGAGCCTGAGATTTCTGTTCAGAGGCAAACATTCACCAGAGAGCACTGGATTGAATCAGCCTGTGCTCTCTCCATGGCTTGGCATGGAACAGAATGCAGGAAAACAGATATAAAAAAAACATAATAAAAACAGATAAATAGCTTCAACCTGACATCTTCACTCTTTCCCAGTGCAGGCTGTTTCAAAATGAGATATTGTTCCCAGGGATGCAGGTACACTTGGGAAGAAGGCCTCTGAGAGATAAATTTGATTCACCACCACAGAGTCTATGGGAATGAGGTGAGGGTGCCATATTGGATGGGTTTGATGGGAGGATTCAGCTGCGGGGCCGGTGTCCTTGTAGACCCTCCTAGTCTAGTTTGGAGTTGCAGACTACTCTGGTTATCTGGGATTGCAGATTTCCAAGGGGGGTGGGCATCAGATTTCCTAATCTGATTTCAAGTCCTTGGGAAATGCCTGAAATACCATCTGTAGATAGCTACTGAAGGCAGGCTATTCAAAATTATGTGTTACATATTAAACCCTAAGAGCCCTCGAGGGTGCCACCCCTTTGTTCAAGAAGATAACCACCTCATTGGGAAACAAATAGGCAAATTAAAAATAAATCTGAAATAAAGTAATTGACAAGTAAATATCAAAGTCATAGAAATTTGGAGGGGTAAAAGTTGTGAATTGTGCCATGGATGTGGATTGCAGGAGTGTGGAGCAGTATTTCTTAATCCTGGCTATGGACTAGAATCCCCACAGTGCTTTTAAAAAGCATTCATTCCCCAGCCTCAGCCACACCTCTCTGAACTTTTTTTTTTTAAAGAAAGAGAGAGGGAGGGAGAGAGAGAAGAGAGAGAGAATTTCAATATTTATTTTTCAGTTTTCAGCGGACACAACATCTTTGTTTGTATGTGGTGCTGAGGATCGAACCCGGGCTGCACGCATGCCAGGCGAGCGCGCTACTGCTTGAGCCACATCCCCAGCCCCTCTCTGAACTTTTTAATTAACTGGATTGTACTGGGTCCGGTCATTGGTCCTTTTAAAGCATACAGGAGCACAGTCTCACAGGACCAGAGGTAGAGACCGCTTCCTGGATGAGACTATAAACTCATTTTTTTTCCTTATTAATACCCAGGGACATTTTACCACTGAGCTACTACATTCCCTTGTCCTTTTTATTTATTTATTTGAGACAGGACCTTGCTAGGTTGCTGAAATCTTGGTAAGTAACTGAAGCTGGCCTTGAATTTGCTCTCCTTCTACCTGGGATTGCAGGCCTGTTCCACGGTGCTGGCTAAACTATAAAGTCTTGAAAGCAGGGCCTTTCTTGGTCATATCTACAGCATCTGAAACAGGATTTTGCACAAGTAGGGGTCAAGAAATGATTGGTTAGAGAGTTCATCTACACCATGAAAAAGGGTAATGTTAATATTAGGAGGACAAGATGCCTTCTTATTAAAGGAGAGTGTATGAGAAAATGTGCATAAGAGGTGATATTCAAGTTATTGGGGGCAGTGGATCAGGTAGAAGACAGATTTGATTAGGAACAGAAGGTTCCAAATGAGAAGAGCAGCTTAATTAAAAAGAGTTTGATGTTGACACTCAGTGATGGAAAGATTTGAATATCAGAGCTTCAGTTTTACTCGATGGTTCAGAGACATGTGCACTGGCTTGGAATTCAGCAGGACACTAAGACATGAGTGAGCAGGCCAGCAGGCAAATGGCCCACTACAGACACTGACCAGGTCAGAGACCCTTCCAGAGTAGCCATTGGTAGGTGGTTGACTCAGATTCCAGAGAAGTTTTGAATAAAGTTTCTAAGTCCTAAAATAAGCACACTATGACCTATGATTTCCATTTGAGAGACTAGTTATTGTCATATTAGGGACGAAAACTAGTAATCACTTATTGCTGAACCCTGTGGATCCTGATTTGGTTGACCTCATGGATTACACTACATAACTGCCCACCTTTGGGTACTTAGGTATCCCATCCAGCTGGCTGCCGAGTGTGCAAACATAAACAGTGTTTGTGGGGATGGAAACACAGCTTTAGGCAAGTTCTGCCCTAATAGCAGTTTCATTAAAAGCCCTCTTTAGTACCAGCTTTTAGGGAACAGGGAACTTGAGCATGTTAATCAGCAAAACTCTACCTGCTTCCCCATTGCCTTACGTTACTGCCCTTGGAAGGCCTTGGAAGACTAGCAGTAGGAAAAAGGAAGGGGAAAGTCACAAACGGTAAGTCATTGTTGGAAAGTTTAAATGACCAAGTCACAGTCCGAGGAATTCAGCTGACATCTCTTAGAGCACAAATACTCAAAAGCAGCCCGTAGCCAATGTCATTAACATGACCCAAGCTGCCCTGGGAAAGACCCTCAGGAGAACAAAGGGCAAGGAGAGGACCTCTGAGGACGTAGTTCTGGAAATCCACACGTAGCCAAGAGCATGCTGAAGGAGGGAGAACACTGCCCGGGTCAAGCCTGCCCATCCCACGCTCCCTGCAGGGGCACGAGAAGCTTTAAAGAGGTATGAACTCCAGAGGCCAGCAAAGGAGCAAAGATGAACACCTAAGCCAGGAATAGCCCACAGGGAGGGTCTGGGGAAGGACTCAAAGAGGTGGTAGTGCGTGAGCCTCGGCAAGCCTCAGGGGAAGGAAGGAAGGAAGGAGGGAGGGAGGGAAGGAAGGAAGGAAGGCAGGCAGGCTGGCTTGCATTTGTCCCATCCCACGCGGATCACCATTTCTCCAACAATGCATGCGGAGGTGGAATTCATCCTCTGACATCAGCCACTAGTGCAGGACTGTTCCCTTTGTCTACTAGCAGGGTGGCTCATGGAGGGGGCTCTATTCCTGTCCACACTGTCAGGCCAAGTTCAATCTCTGGCTCTTAGCAAATGTACGTTAAGTGAAGGAACAGACTGGCATGTCCTAAGTCTAAGATCTGAGACGGGACATGAGCTTGTATTCCAGATAAGGCCTGCTGTGAATTCAGCTTTCTGAAAATCCAAGAGTTCATGGCTGGCACCCAAATTCTCCCTGGGCTGGTGGGCCTTTCTAATATGTGCTATTCACAGATATGCTGGTAGAGATTTGGGAGGGACTAGAAGCATCAACTCTGATCAGGAGGGCAATAGAGAAAAGAAAATAATGATGAGGTAGAGTTTAGAAAAGGGGGGGCAGGGGCGGGAGCGATTAATTCTGAATAATCTAAGTCTCTATGAGGAAGGTGCAAATTAGATGCAGAACAGAGCGGCAGAAACTGACATTAATTGCCCGTTCTATGCCAGTTTCTGTGCCAGAGACCTTCCCTGCATTATCTCGTATATCCCTCACAATAATCTAGCCAGACGTGTAACAAAGCCCCACTTAACAAACGCAGGAACTGGAGGTTCCAAGAGGTTAAGTAAATTATTGAGGTTCGTAGAGCTGGTGAGAAAAGAAACCAGGCCTCAAACAGAATCCGACTTCTAAGTGGTCCCTGCTGTCACTGCGCATGCTTGGGGGGCAAGTGCTTGTATTTCTAGGTGGGCAGAACAACTCTAGTTGTTTCCCATTTTATAGTGTACTGCTAGGAAAGGAAGTTTGGTGGGAAGTGGGACACGGGGGCAATCAACCCTGGACAATCAACCACTTACCTGAATATTTTATCAGAGGGCTGCTCTCCCAAAACCAGGTCAAAGCCTCGCTGAAATATTGTGTAAGGCCAAGGCCTAAAAGGAGAAACATTATTCAATTAAAATCCACTCAACAAACACTCCCTTCGTGCCGGGCACCACGCTGGATGGTAAAGACCCAAAGATGAAGAAGACACAGTTCTCACCCTCAGGATACTTACAAAGGTGCGCCTGCGTGACCTGGAATCCTAGAATATGACCAGGAACATGCTCAACGTAAAAATCTCTGAGCCTTTAGGAAAGCAGAATGTAATAGCATGACCACTGGAACTGCGCACAGAAGAAACTGTGCACAGAGGAAATATTAAGCGGGAGCTCACCCAGCCATATTGATGGTCCTTCAAATGGACATTTGCAGAAACCTAGTTCTGTTCTGCTTAAGAAGGGATGTAAGGTTTCTTGAGGGAGACCTTTGGGACCAGGCAGTTTTGCCATGGAGGCAACGTCTGACAGGGTCAAGAAGAGCTGCCCAGCAGACCCCTGCAAAGATTCAGCAAACCCCCTAGGTCAAGGGCCACTGCTCACACAGGGCCTCCAATGTGTTTTCTCTCCTAACTTAAAAGGGCTTGAGGATTCAGGGTTCTTGATAACTTCCAAATATCCTCAAACATTTTGATGTCACTCATTCAAACAAACAACTGACATAGTATTTTAGAATAATTATTAAATAACTCTAAGCCTTCCTAGGTACTACCACATGTGCTAGAAAGTAGAAAAGTAGCTATCTGGTTACTAGCTCAGATATCTAAACCCAAAATTATTTGCTCATTCAAACAAGACCAAGTGAAGCCCAAAACTTGTGTTGAGTACTGAGCTATTGTGCATACTGGAGGGCCTTAGTCCTCAGAGTCCCGAAACTTACAGTCTTAAAACTAATCCAATTATTGAGGATTTTACTGTAGAAGTTCCTTTATTTTCCAAGGATTTCAAAAAGTCAGGAGAAGAAGGTACAGTTATTATTTTGGGCTAAATCTAATATTAGGCATTAACCTTGGTATCACCCAGTCGAGGGCATTTGAGGAAATGTATGGGGATGTTCTCGGATGATACCATGATAGGTGGGCATTACTAACATTTGGAAAGAAGGGCTAGGATGGCTCAGGAGAGCTCTGGAAAATTTCCCACATCCTACAAGCTTTCAAATGCCATTATAGTCATTTCCTTAAGTATTGAAAACCTGCTTATAATGACCTGAGCCTAGATGATAACTCCATTTACATATAAACACAGAATAGTTTGCAGAGTTTTAAAGGTGAAGAAGATGAATTTTCAGGTAAATAACTACTATGTAAATGGAAGATTATACATTGTGTAATCACTGGGGTCCTCTTACAATGCAGCCACATTAGTCTCTGTTGCTCTTGTATATATCATGTTCTATAGCATATGTTACATTTTGGTGATTTTGTATTAGGTGCAAATGGCTTCCAACTTTATTATTTCTTCTACTGCAACAGAGTGTTTACGAATTAAAATAGTTATTATATCATTATAAATTACTTTCTTTGGGGGGGCCAGTTCTGGGGATGGAACTGAGAGCCTCGCACCTGCTAAGCAAGCGCTGTATCATTGAGCTACTTTCCCAGCTCTGTCAATTACCTTATTATTTCTCCTCATTTAATTACTGTTAAGCATATTTATTTGTTGAAATTTTGTGCATATGGATTTTTATTATTTATGAAATTAATTTAAGAATGATAAGAGATTAAAAATATTTGCTGAAAAATAGTATTGGGTCCAATAGGGTTCAGAACCATCAACTTAAACCATCAACCAGCCAACTAGTTACCCCCTCCTGGAGTCAATAGTCATAAGGGGAGGCCATTGGAGCAATATAAAGGAGCAGCTAGGATGAATGTGTTCACTTTAATGCCTACTATTTATAAATACTTTATTCCTGAATAATATCTGATCTAGAGATACCCCAAGGCTCCAAAATGTTCCCAAATGCTACTCTGAATAACCCTTGCACGGAAGAATCAGTGTCCCCACAGATGCTCTTTATGTTAGTTCTGTTTACTGGAGGTGAATCCACAGAGTAGGGTTTGCATCTGATTCTGTTCTGCTTAATAGTAAGTGATAGCTTATGGGCAAATAAAAATAGGCATTAATTTAAGAATGTCTACAATTCATGAGGAAAAAATAATCCATATACTTTCAGACATCTAGAAAGGACAATAAAAAGAGAAAAGGGACATGCAACTTTGTCTCCTCTTTTTTGGAGAGAATCACATTTATTTACTCTAAGTTGAATACTTTTAAATAACACACATTTTGCCTTCAAGTCATCTCTAATATTCAAAACTGGTACGATGTGTAATTAGAGTGAATTCTTGGCACAGATTCTATGTAGTTTGGAAATATATTTTGAGAAGACAAATCTTAGGACTGGTGTTGATTACAATGTGAATAATTAACTGCATTGAATGATACAAATAAATGTGCATCCAGAGCCTAGTTAATGAATAATGAGCTTGGAGACATTTATTATGCACACATCCACATGTTGCTTATAAAGGTCAAAGAGACCTACTCTTGATGCTCTGGAAAACAGTCAACTCATGCTGGGAAGGGCACAGATATGCAGCATGGACCCCGCCCTGATCCCAGGTAGAGGTGGCAAGGCCTAGTGCTTAGGGCAGGAGCTGTGGAAGGAGCCTGCCCATTATGAAGTCCAGCTCGGCCACCAATCCCTGTGCCAACTTGCTCAAATTCCCCAATCGTTCTGAGTCCCTACATCTTCACCTATTGAATGAGGCTGATGGTAGCAAACATGTTTACCTGGCAAGGTGGTTAAAAGGAGGAACTAGTTAATATAGTTGAGATGCTCAGAACGGTACCTGGTGTTTCATCAATGCCTTCAAAGCATTTATTAAGTTTAATTTACTAATTACTTGACTCAAATATAAATCCTATGTAAGAAGTGATTCCTGCTTTTCCTTAGAGGAAGAAGTACCTGTCCCTAAGGGGATGCCAACAGAAGGCTTTAGCTGGAGAGGAGACCAGGGTGACCAAGGCTCCCCCACCCACTGCCCAGTGATCATGTCATAGGGCAGCTAATTATGCAATGTTGACACCAAAGTAAAGACAAGGGGAAGAACATACTGTGAAATGGTGAGAGAAATTAGTTGCATTTGCATTGGCAAGAAATAAAAGGGAACTTACTTATTTCCTTCCATTAGTCGGGGAAGATCTGCCAGAGAGACAGAAACTCATACTTGTTTAGCAGGTAGTTAGGGAGGACTGTGTGTGAACTGTGATACCAGACAACAGGAATTGGATAAAGAGAATCTTGCCCTCAAAGGAATCTACAGTGTTTCTGAAGAAATACCCGGGTTCACACAAAAAGAAGGGAATGTTAAAGAGAAGGAGTGTTAAAGAGTGGAGTCCCAGACCGCGAGCTGAGCGGTGTTGGTGGGTGGTGGATCAACCCTCCCGGGGGGATGGAACATGTGGTGGGGGAGGTTGGCCCACACGACTGGAGAGGCCACAGGGAACAGGAAAAGCCGATTACCTGGGACCAACTGAAAGAGGTTTCTGTGATTTCTATATTAGGGTTCTTTGAGTTTTAAAGTAAGAAAACCAAAGTGGCTTCACCAAATAGAGGCCCCTCACCGCGTCATATACCCAGGCTTAGAGGGAAGTAGTCTCTGGGAGGCTGGAAGCCAGGTCTAAAGCACCTTCTCATTGTTCCTCTCCCTTCTTGGCTCTGTCACTACCCTGGGGCCTTACTCTTCCACGTGGCTAATGAACATGGCGGACGGCCTCCAGACTCTGGCTCCTGTCTTCTGGGGCTCAGACCTCAGGGGAGACCACCCTCCTCGTCATCAGGGAAGAGTGATCTACCCAACAACTGCTTGGCATTTCCTGGGTCTGACGAGCACCGGGAGCAGTCTCTGGGCCGGGGAGCAGAAGCACCTCAGCACATGACAGCTCCCATTTGGTTCTGAAGTGGAGCGAGGAGAAGGGTAAGAGCAGATGAAGCCGTTTCCACTGGCTTTTCTGGATCTGCTCGTGGAGGAAAGCAGAAGCAGGGGCGCCACTGAGAGGACAGTGTCAATCTGCATTTTGTGGGAAGGGTGATCAGCCATGGAGGAGCCCCCCCGCGGGGTCTGGCCAGATGTGGGGTAGGAGGTTGAACCTCTGTCTCGTGTCTCCCCTTGGACATGTGGCCTCTAACATTCTCTGCCCTGCACTTGGCAATGCACTCACAAGTTAGTTTGGGAAAATCAGCCGGACCAGAAGTCATTTGGATGGTGGTGAAGACTTTCATTCTGACTAATTGAGACCCTGAAGATCGTCCTCCTCCATGGGCAACTACAGATGCCCTCCATGCACAGGAACCATCCCAGACCCGTTGCCTCAAGCAGAGGCATCATGTGTAGCTCAGAGGAGCCCCACTGGAGAGGTACAGCAGCCAGCAGGGCACACACACAACTGTGGATGCCAAGAAATAAGGGTCATCTTTTGTCATTTCTTTTCTCTTCTTGTCTCAGAGTATACCCTCAGTGTGTTCAGTCTACTCTAATCACTGACAATTTCCAAGCATTCAGTTTCTCTCCCCAGCTCTCCTCTCCCTGAGGATGCATCAGAGTTGCAGATATTCTGCCTTAGTCCTGAGGGTATGCTGGGCCACATGTCAACCATGGCCTTGACTTGCTGCTTGGCCTTCCTCCTGGTTGCTGGGGCACTTCTTCCACTATGAAACCTAGAGCCAACTGAATGAGCAAAAGCCCTACAAGATCACCCTGCCACACCTGGGCTTGGACAATCCCTTCATAAGGGTTCCCTCAGGGGAAAATGGACTCCTCCTGCTCTGCACAAGGGGGCTTTAAATGCTGCTCTTTGATAAGGAACTAACCCATTTGCCCACCTAACTGAGCACAGAAAACCCTGCTCAGAGGTTGCTGGCCAGCATGCCAGCTGACGGACTTGTTTGTGGAAGACATCACCTGGGAGGTAAGAGGAGCAATCAAGATGATAGGTGGGTAGGTAGATAGGTACGTAGAAAATAGATGGGAGGGGTAGAGACCGCA